TGTGTGTGTGTGTGTGTGTGTGTAATGGATACAAAAATGCATTCAGACTAGAGATATATGTTATTCAAGCTTTAATATTACAAAAACATGCAAATCTGTCATCTTTCAAAAGTCACCATTCTTCTCTCACTTACCAGGCGCGATTCTGCAACAACCGGTATCATCTGTTCACAAATCCAAGAAACACATGACTTCGAAAAGAGAGTTCCACTGCTCATGCTCTTTATAGGAGTCTATCTGGGAAAGTAGGGGGGATAGGTTTCGCGAAACCCTTGTATCCCCTACAGTCTAAGGCAGTCATTATAAGTTTTTTATCCTTGAGGAAATCAATTGGTTTTTTCGTAATAATGTTCGCTGCGGTACGTATATGTACACGTAGACTCCTTTTTTCAATTTTCTGTTTTAATAATATTACTTCTTATATATTTGAATAATTTACAGTGTCATTTTACGATTTTTGTATATTATTTTTATTATTTATTATTTCATGTTTTTTGATGTATTCTATATTTTTCATAATATTTTCTCTTTTTAAATTATTATTAAAAAGAAAATTATATTCATTAAAATAATAATGGTATAAGCAAATCAAAAGGTTTACTGGCCTTGATAGCATGAACTTTACTGAAATACAAAAACATTTTATAAAAATAATTATAAATTACTTTTATCCTAATATGTGTATATAATTAAAACAAATATTATAATACAATAACAACAACTTACCAAGATAAAAATTTGAGTATTATAGATTTTTCAGGTTGAATAGTACTGTTTCTTAAAAAGTAACATTTATTTTTAATAGGTTTAAAAGGCTTTTTTTTTTAATAGAAACACTCATATTTCTATTAATTGAATTACAATTCTTAATAATTTAAAAATTAATAACATTTTAGTTAATAATTAAAAAGGTATATAACTTTTAGTGTTAAAAGTTCATTAATTATTGCTTAGATCTCATGACAATCCTTTTATTTCTTTATATATACATTTCTAATCAGTTTAATATTATTGATTCATATTTGGTTTTTTTCACATTCCTACAGAATTGCATAAGTTGGTGTCACAGGATTTTGAAAAATTTTTATATTTACCTCTGAATGTGAATACATTCTTGGTCTTTTCTTTGAAATAAATATTTTTTTAAGTTTTTATGGTTTTAATGTGTTTTTTGGTTTAACGTAACTTAAATCACAAAGTATTTATAACAATTTTTCCTTAAGGGCTTTGATGTTTTAATTCTGATAGAAATTGTTTCCATTTTCATCATCTACTGTGCAGATTCAGCTTGCTAAAATGTCTTACTATATTTCTTTTGAGATTTTGGTTTTTCTGATTTTTGCATGCAGACTAATGTTTTTAAATGGTATTTGATACTAGAAATTATTTCATAGTATTTAAGTACGGATTATTCAGTATTGTTTACAGGCTTAGGGTATTTTTATAAACTTGTTCTAGCATTATTTTCTCTTTCTTTCAGACTTGTCATGCAGGCAAAAGTAGAAGAAATTAGGAAGGCCTTAGTCGGCTCCGGCAGCTTAGAGGTAGTGTGTCTTCGTAAGCCTTAAGTTCCGAGTTCGACCCTGTCTGAAGTCGA